TAGTATCAGTGACTCCCCAAGTATCCTGATCCACTTTGTCCCTGGGCTGACTACAATGACCACAGCCTCCACAGCCTTACGAGGGGGAGCCCCACCACTGCCTCCCAGGGTGAGGTGTGGCAATGCACGTGGAGGCCTCCAGAGGGCAGTCAGGGCCCAGGCTGAGGACTAGCCCAGGCCTGGGAGAGACTGGGAAGTACAGAGGAGGAGGTTCTGGAAAGTTCAGAGAATGAGAGATAGGAACAGACACAGGGAAAGGAGTCCCAGGAAGGGACCCAGAGGCAGCCCTGAGGCTGCAGGGTCATCTGGAGGAGAGAGAGGCAGCAGAGAGGCCAGGCCCCTTTAGAGCTGGGCAGCCTTACTCCCACCACAACTAGTGGACCCAGTGATATATCCTCAGAGGGTGATGGGCTCTGCTTGGCAGCCCCTGGAGGTCACATGCTCCTCCTTGAAGAGCTCAACTGTGGCTCCAGGTTTTAGCCACATGCCACCTTCCCTAGGACCTACCCAGGCTAATGGGACTGCCTAGAGAGACAAACAGGAAACACTGGGCAGCTTCTTTTCTCTCTGGGCCTCAGTTTCCCCATCTAAACAGCTTCAGCCATGTGGGTGCCACAGAGACAGGCTGGGCTAATGCCCATGTTGACCTGTTGGAGGACAAAAAGCCATCCATGGCTGCCCTTCCCACCCCAAGAGAAAGCAAGGACCCCCTCTCTATTAGGCCTGTTAAGAAAACAACCATTCAATGCCCCTTGGTAGAGCACAGGGAGAAAGACTTTATGACCAACTTCCTTATCCACATGTATTTTCTATTACCTGGAGTCAACCACAATCTAAAAAGATTGAATGAGGGCCAACCAAATAGCTCAGAGGACTAAAGTGCATGCAAGCAGGTATAGGGGCTGGGGGGTTGATCGCTGAGACAGCAATTGAGACTGGGCGTGGTTGTACACGCCTGTAATCCCTGCTCTTGGGAGACTGTAAATAGGCAGATCACTATGAGTCTGATCTAGTAGTGAGAC